AGAGAGGGTGTGGAGCAACTGGGCCGTTTTTCTTGCAGTACACGAGAACGCAACGAGCAATCTCGTCGCTCGTCACTCAACACATCAATGTGTAAATAACAACAACGGTATAGAGTCCATAGAATATCATTGCAAACGATTTGGAGCATCCTACGAATTTTGGCAGACTTCTACCCTGAGGGGTTATTGTGTGAAATTGACCCGAAATATACAAATCCACTCGTAAAAAATCCACCCCATAGCCATTCCTATTCTATTAGAAACTCTAACGCCCTAAGAAAGAGTGGGTAGTTGCAATTGCGGCTTGTAAGAACCTGAAAAATTGTTCTATAGATCCGAAACTATTACATAACAAAAAATACATCGCATGCACTTCTCGAATTCGTCTTCAATTTTGCGTTTATGAAATCTAAATTCCCCATAGCTAAAGTAAGAATAGAGGTAGCCTCTGGAAAACCCCGCCCCTCCGCGCAGACTCCGCCCCCTTGCCTCCACAGGCGGATATTTCGTTGACTTTCGTTTCACGAACAGAAAAAACGCTTGATATGTTCGAAATATGTGTAACGGACATGGTTAACCTTCCAAAACTGTTTAATGACGCTTCAGAATTTTAGAAATTTTTCATTGTCATTTCACCATCGTGGGAAAATCCATGCTAAAAACTTAGGGTGATTGGCTCATTACTGAGACCCAGGTGAATTCTGAGGACTAATTAAGACCAACTCGGATACCTTGGGAGTCGACGCTTGAGAGCGTCGGCTGCAATTGTGCGGTGTATTTATTTGATGTATGATATTGGGGCGGAAGTGGTGTAGTGGCAAGTGGCACGCTTACCACGCGAGCGGTCCGGGGATCAAATCCTGGGTCGTGAGTCGCCCGGGCCAACCAAGCCTTCCATCCCTCCGGGGTCGGTTAATTGGTACCAGACTTGTCTGGGAGGATAAAAACACTGACTTGTACATCGGCTGGCCCCGCAAGTCATTGTATAGGCCACATCGCATTCAAACGCCACTACGAATGTACAAATGGAAGTAGAATGCGTGCCGCATCCCAAAAAGGGATTGATCAACGGCAAATGCTTTATCCTTTATCCTTTATGATACTGTATTCTCCTGTCACTATCGATGCTGCACTTATGCTAGTTACTGTAGACAGGACGTCAGGTAGTGTAGCTAATTTGCCTGGGTGTCCCCAAGAGGCCCGTCGCGCGGCGAAGGAAGAGACGCAGATGCGGCAAAGGACGTCGCAGCGCGTGCTGTGCGATATGAGACGTAGTATGGTACACTCTATTTAACCTGACGCCTAACCGCTACAGTATGCGCTGCGACTCGTCCTTTGCCGCGTCTGCGTCTCTTCCTTCGCCGCGCGATGGGCCTCTTGGGGGACACCCAATTCGCCTATTCCTCATACTCAGTGTTGAAGACGTTGCACACACAGGGTCATCCAACGTGGCCTTGGGAATTTCTATGAACCTCCTCCCCCATTTCCTACCAGGAAGGTCTTTCAGGGCGTGACAAGCTTTTTGAAAACGGTCTTTTGCATGATATAGGGGCAGATGCGGGAACCACAGAACCATGTTCATTTTTCCTGAACGGCCCTCTGAATACCAGAAAAGGGGGTCCCTAGTTCGATTCCTCGTGGTGACAAATTTTTGCATTTCGAGTTGACGTTCCAAAATTCGCGCAAAATGGAGTTAGCATGAATAATTAGTACCATATACACCTTTCTATTCTGCATCTTTCTTCGAAGCTAGGGAATCCCACATATTCAGGGATCTTAAAGCCGGTATACAAGCGCAGGATTCTCAAACTGAACCTTCTCGAGAAGTAAAGAGCTGAATAGACCATAGTGAACTCTCCCTCCTGAGATAGCAAATTCGCTATAGACTGGCCCCAACAAGACAACATTAATTTGTGCACCAAGATTCTGACCTGAACTCGAGTGCATGGCTTATCCTAGAAATGGGTTGATCATTCTCGAGCGCCGTACCCTTTATCTTTTCACAAAATCAGGAATAACCTTGAGTTTCTTATATCTGAAGGGCGTATTTCAGTCTTTTGAAGAGCCCAGAAGGAGACCATTCATACCCCCCCCCCCCACCATTAGCAGCGGTGAGGTTGAAAGTCCTTGAGCACTTGGCCTAAATGAGATGCTTCTAAGAACTACATTACCCGGAAAAGAAGTCCAGTTTTTCTTCATTACATGGCCATGGACCAATGTCAAAGGCCACACGATGCAATTTCCGCAGTTAAATTGGCGTATTCGGCCAGCATAAGAAATGAAAACGTCTTCGGCGAAAGTTCACCAGCATATGGTAGCATTTACTTAGCTTTGCCATTATGTAAATGGCTAGCTGGTTTTTGCAAAAACGACTCTTCTAATGGGTTCTTCTTAAAGGACAAACTTGGTGCTCAATGGGCACGGTGCTGTGGCATTGTACTGGCCAGTGTCCACGAAAAAACCCGTGCTGTTCCTGACGAACACCGACGCGTAGCGCAGCGCTCAGCACATCTGGAGCTGCATTCAGTGATGTTGCGATCACGTCGAAAAACAAACGACCCTTCCTGTTCCTCCGAAAAGCCCATTACGTTCACATCAACAAAGGGTGTAGCCTTGAATTCGACAGAATTTAAAGGAGCATTCCGCAATAAGGTCGAAATTCGTAGAAGGGGAAACAAACCTACACTGAAGACAGCCAGACCCCCTAGGGTGTCGGTCGATGCGCCTCTAACAGCGAAGAATATGCCCCCAACGGCCCAGCACGGACATAATTGCACTGCTGCCCGCCCACCCCTCGCCGTCTGACTCTAGCCGTTAGGCAGAGAGAGTGTGTTGGCGTTGAAGAGGGCAGCAGCGATGAGAGTCGCATCAATGCGAAATCAACGGGCAAGGAAGGGGTCCCATTTCTCGGGTTCTGGGCCGTTTCTCATGGTTTTTCCTTCACTGCATCACTCACCATCGCTAGTTTACTTTTTTATGGACCGCCTTTTCATGTAAACCCTGCCTTTGTGAATGAATCACGAAAAAGAACTTACCAGACCGTTGTCGCTGTCGCAAAGGTTGACGATGCTGGTGTCTTCGGTGTCCGCAACTCGCGCCCGATAGATGCAGTCGCTTGCGGCATGTGATAGTCGTGCCTTAGCCGACGAATCGCTGTCGAAGTACTGTACAAGCGGCACCACGTCCTCGTTTTCCACCACTGGCAGTGATCTGCAAAGATAACGCTGTTACTGCTCGAAAACGCTTACTTTCTCAAGAGGTTCAGTACTTATTGATCGGTACGGCCAATTGTCTCCATCTCTGCAGGTGGACGATGTAGACGACGTCGTCGGAGCGCAGCCGCAGATGGCAGGCGACACCGCAGTCACGCGCGACGCCTCGCACTCCGGCAACGCGACGTTTGACGGTCGCCGCGGCGCGACGTCGCCGTCGCACGAAGTGACGGTCAACGTCGAAAACTCGACCGCTGCTGACTCGCAGACCTGAATGATCATTTTTGAGAAGAATGGGTCAGAGCTTGAGCTTAGCGCGGCTCGTAGGAGGGTTATTCTATCCTACTATTTTGGAGCCAAGGTTGCCTAGATGACTGGCAGGTTACCTTGGTGAAGTGAGTGTAATGATGAGATTCTAGGGCCTAAAGGTTGTCTAGGCGGTCACTTAGCACTCCACCAAAACTGATAGACTGTATAGTAATGCTAGGAACTCATGGCAACTTATGGGTGGGAAACCGGGTCCATATCGAATTTTTATATGGTCCAATGTGCTCCCTTTTCCTCTCACGCGGCGATACCTTCTCTAAGTCTTTCTTTTCTACAAGCTAATAAAATAATTTTGATTTTCGCTGGCCCTTGTGTTTCGTTTCTGATGCTGCAGGCGACGTTTCACATTGGCATCCCTTCATGTACTACGCCAGTGGTTTTCAAAGGCGGGTGCTTCTGTCGATGAGAGTAGTGAGTTTTTAAGGACCCAACGACGAGTTAATAGAGCCTGCAGGAAGACAACATGAGGTTGTCATGATAATAAAACTCCGACTAAAATAATTTTCCCCCACCATCTGTCTACATTCTTATAATATGCTATCGAGGCTTTCCAATGTACAGGGTACCACAGCGTACGAACCAATTGCGAGCGCTACGGAAAATCTAAAATAAGCTTATACTGGAAGCCCTCCCAATTAGCACCCAACTTATTATTAACAAAAAAGGACGAGACTTCACCATCCCTAACCCGGCTATTGGTAGACGGCGAATTCACTTCAAAAAGACGGTTAGGAAATAGGTTTTTTGCGCACACGGCCCCATCTTGACAGGCTCTGTGATGCTCTAAAACCTACAAGACTTTCCTAGAGTCACTGAGAACTGCTTTACAAGGAATCTTGAAGGAACATTGGTGTATCAAACCCTCATTAGCCCTCACGATACAAATGCACTCGCGCACACCAAGTCGCCTATCAACGGCCTTTGCACTTTGCCATCTTCTTTAACTGATCTATCAATTTCCGCCCACCGCCACCTAATTAATGTTTGTATTAATCTCCTAGAGAAGCAAAACCCCTAGCCAAGCGCAGGAACACCAGATCCAAAAGTGAATCATGCGCACAATCCAAAAGATGGTTATGGTCAGGTGCCTACTTCATTGCCTTACTATCCATATCGTGCCACCTCCATGCAAGCGCCGCGAGTTCTTTAACAGGAAAAACAGTGAAATTGACGCTTGATACCTCTAGTCTTATCTTTCACAAGCCTAACAATTATTTTATTTTCGCTGGAGCCCTTGTGTGTATTCGGTTTCTTGATGGCTGCAGGGACGTTCCCATTTGCATCCTTACAATGTACTACGCCGTGGCTCTTCAGCGCCGGGTGCTTTTCTGTCGATGAAGATAGTGAAGGTTTTAGGGACCAACGAACGATGTTAATACAGCTGCAGGAACAGGGAGATATGGGTGGTCCAAGTACGAAACTACGAATAAATATTTTCCATCCCACCATCTTGGGTCTAATTCCATATGGGCTATCTAGACTTTCAATGTATAGGGTGAGCAGAGGCTACGGTAACAAGTTGGAGTGATCATGGAAATCTATAAAATTGACTGGAAACCCTCCCAAATTAGCCAACTTTGTATTAACATAGGAGCGAGATTCCGGCTAACTCACTAACTGGGCTAGTGGTAGACGGCAAATTCACTTCAAAAAGACGGTTAGGAAATAGGTTTTTTGCGCTCACGGGCCCCATCTTGAGAGGCTCTCTGATGCTCAAAAATTTACAAGACACTTTCCTGGAGACACTGAGAATGCAAGGGATTTTGAGAGACAGGTGTGCATTCAAAACCCTTCATGAGCCCTGAGCGAATACAAATGCACGGCGTATCTCAAAGTCGCTGATCAACGCCTTGCACTTTGCCTCTTCTTTACCTTTTATACAATTCGCCCACCGCCACCTACTTTTAATTGTTTGTATAACCTATAAAGAAGCAAAACCTAGGGCCAAGCGAAGGAACACCGATCAAAAGTTGAATGCATGGCGCACACCAAAGATTGGTTATGGGTCAAGAGCCCTTGTTCATTACCTTCTATCAATACTGCCCACCCATTGTTGTAACATCCATCAATTACGCGAGGTCTTTAACAGGAAGCAAGAAGATTTACTCCTTAAGACTCTTAGGGCCAGGAGTAGGGCCATTGCTCCCTTTAGGACTCGCTCGATTCCTCCGAAAACTTGTTCTTTTCGCTTATCGTTGCGATTCTCTTCCAGTACATTCTTTATGCTAGCAGTGATGCTATGATAGTGATTTACTGCTAATCAAACACGGTCAATGGTTGTGTTGGTCGGCCTGCCGTCCGTAGGAGTGTAGGAGGAGGGCATAGCCGTGCGGGGCGATAAAATCTGCTGTCCCAAGGTGGCAAGATAATGAAGAGTGGCATGTTGGCGCCTTTAAGGACAGACTTGACAGCTCCGCGGAAAATGTTCTTGAGGTTTTTAAACGCCCGACTACAAAACGCGCGACTATCCTGCATCGTGTGTAAATCACCTACGAAACATGAGAATTGACAGATCACCCATGGCTGTTGCGTTTTTTATTCCCAGGCCATATCTTGACCCAAAATATTCCCGGCTTCACATCATCGATCACTCAAGCACACGCGGGTCAAGTGTATAGTTGTACGGGTCGGGTTTCAGTTGCAGCGTGCGGCGAGACCAATACGACAAAGTGCAGGTGTTGTTCGTGTGACGTTTCATCGTATGGCGCTGGACGCCACTTTGAGTTGAGCACGTCAGCTGCGCCCACGGGCCAGCAAACCCTCCGGCGGCGGTGCGACCAATCGGTGGCGGCGCCCAGCAGACACTTCTTTTTCATATTTATGAACTCATTTCATCTCATCGCATCCAAATCCCCCCACATTCAGAGCCGCAGAAGAGCATTATCGTCGATGAAACTGACATACACGCCAACTCGGCTGTTCCAAATGACCCATCATCGCGATCGGCATAGTTTTCGCATAGAAAAAACCACGCCAAATGGCTTCCGATTCCAACTGGGTTGTTCGCTAAGCCGCAGAGAGCTTTGGGGAGAAACGTCGACCGCGTCGAGAGGCTCATTCCGCCGGCTACGAAGCCCAGCGATTAGAAAAGGGCTTCCCTGAATAGATTACGGTCGACTTGCTGGGAAGCGAGGAGAGGCTGCTGTTAACTCTACTCTCCAATTTTAGCTTGAAGAAGCACAAACGAGGCAAGGTGTTGCCCCGGGAGCAAATATGGCGCTCGGGGAATTTGCGTGGTATGGCGGCACCAGGCTCGGGACCATTATGGTTATGCAAATCAACGAGGCGCAAAGTAGTGCCGCTGCCGACAATATCACATTATGTGACAATGAATATGAATGATCAGCACACGTACCTGAGTACTTGGCCCGGGCGAATGACTGCAGCACATGATGAGGATGATGATCGGCCACTAAGAGATCGTCTATAGGCAGTGAATTAGTAGAAGATGAGGTGTGAGAAGTAGTAAGGGAAGACGGTCGTCTGACAAGCACAACGGTGGTGAGAGCGGCAACGAATGCGCAGACGACGAGCGCAGCAAAGGCTCGCAGCCGCACGACGAGCATCTAGGATCAGCAACAGCAGTACGACACCAGCGACCACCGCAGCATCACAACTCCTGTAAGCAGTACCTACAGTAAGACCATACAAAGACGTGGGTCAGACCATAACACAGGCCTGGCTGCACATGGCTGATCCATCACCACGACGCCCACAAACTCACCTTCCACAGCCGCCTGTGATGCTGTGAGAGTGGACTACACGGGCTAGACTAGATTACAGTAATAGCTAGGAAGCAACAGGGGCGGCACTCTGAAATGGGCATTTTTTTGCCGTGGCAGAAGAGGAAAACGGCGTTCACTGGAGAGTGGATGAAACGGGAATTTTTTCCCCCGGTAGGAAAACGAGAGTGTCCGAACGAAACCAAAAAACCAACGTCTGCAGGATTTCTGATGGAATAAACAGAACAAAGCAATTCCTTCGGAATTCTGAACTAAGGGAGTCTATCAACGTTATAAAAAATAAGAATCCTTATTTTCATTTTATTTATTTATTTATTTGAAACGACGCATAAGGCAGTCGTGGGAAACAACGATAAATGAGCAACAGTACAACAATCTTTCCTTATAGATAACCTAGTTATAGCTCAACAAATTTTTCTTAGCTAGGCGTTTGAAAAGCACAAATTATAATCCGGAAAAAGAAATGTTTACAGAAAATCCATGAAGAAGTGCACAAATAAGGAAAATAACTTGTTGGGACCACATTTTTCGAGGATTTTTTAGAGCTTATATCTCAATGAGAGCACATTTGTCGAGGATTTGAAGCTTATATCTCAAACGAAGACAAATAACCCATCAAAAAAGGTTCAGTGAACATTTCAGCATGGCTACCGACTTAGAGTATGTCATCAGTAAGCATTCGCCCAACGAAAAAAGTGTTATTTCGTGATTTTTAAGAACGAGATCGCATTCAGAGAGAAGGTTCAGCTTTTTGGTAAGAAAATGGAAAGAATCGTGGATTCTTCAAAATTGATTTTTCACGAATTTCGGTAAAATTTCGCCGTTTCAGCAGTAATATATCTTATCCCTTCCCGGCTCGACGCGTTTTTGAAGAAAGTGCTGGACGCAGCAAAGTGTGCCAAGATGAGCCAGATCCACAACACTAGGGACAGCACGGAAAGCTAGAAGGGGTCGTGTTAAAGCTGCGAGCGCCT